CCTGATGAATATTGGTGTGGGAGCTCTGGTAGCGTAGTGGCTAGAACACTTGCCTGCTAACCAGACGGCTGGCGGTTCAAACCCATCAGCCACTCCTCGGAAGAAAGGTTGGGCAATCCTACTTCCGTAGTGATACTGCCTCGGAAACCCAAGGAGGGGTCACTATGAGTCGGGGCCGACTCGACGGCACATAACAACAACAACAACATTGTCATCATATAGGAAAGACCACATACTATCATGTAACATGACAGTGTGAAAATGTTTTAAAGTCCTTAGCACAGTGAGAAGAATATTTATGAATGTGGTAGCTAAAATAAATTACAATAGGCAAAACTCCAAGAACAGAGGGTTTTTTTTTTTTTTTCCTGCAGATTCAGCTAGTTGTTTTATAATAAATCAAATACAGTATTACTCACTCACACCTCTAGGTTTAGTTTTTTGTTTTGTTTTGAACATTTTATTGTAACTTAGGTGAAAGTTTACAGAGAAAATTAGTTTTCCTAGTCAACGATTTATACACATTTTGTTCATGACATTAGTTGCCATTCCCTTAACATAACAGCACTCTTTCCAACTCCTCCTGGTTCTCCATTTCCATTTGCCCATCTTTTTCTGCCCCTTCATGCCTTCCGATCTTTGTTTTTGGGGAAATGCTGCCCTTTTGGTCTTGTATGGCTGATTGTTCTGAGGAGGATGTTTACATTTTTGTTGTTGTTGTTGTTATGTGCCGTCAAGTCGGCCCGACTCATAGTGACCCCTCCTTGGGTTTCCGAGGCAGTATCACTACGGAAGTAGGATTGCCCAATCTTCCTTCCGAGGAGTGGCTGGTGGGTTTGAACCACCAGCCTTCTGGTGAGCAGTCAAGTGCCTTAGGCACTACGCTACCAGAGCTCCTATCTATTTGGCTGAAAGGTGATCTCTGGGAGTGAGTTCAGTTCCGGGTTTAAAGGGTGTCTCAAGAGCTATAGTTTCAGGGGTTCCATCAGCCTCTATCAGACCAGTAAATCTTTGTGTGTGTGAATATGATTTTTTGTTCTACATTTTTCTTCCACTTTGTTCAGGACCTTCTATTATGATGACAATCAGAGTTGCTGGTAGTAGAAGCTAGGCACCACACGGTTCTTCTGGTCACAGGGGCTAGTGGAAGCAGTGGTTTGTGTGGTCCATTAATCCACACAAACTGGACTAATTGTTTCCTCATGTCTTTGATTTTCTTTACTCTTCTTTGTTCAAGATGGGAAGAAGCCAATAGTTGTATCGTAGACGGCCGTTCACAAGCTTTTAAGACTGCAGGGGCTACTCACCAAAGTAGGATGTAGAACATTGTCTTTATGGACTATGTTATGCCAATTGATCTGGATGTCCCCCATGACTATGGTCCTAACCTCTCAAATCCAGTGGCTCAGTCTCTCAAGGTATTTGGTTACAGCTAAGAACTTTGCATAACTTTGCCTCCTATACATTCCACTATATACCTGGATATATTTGCAGTATATACAAATATCCCCTGCCAAACCTATATATGCTCATGGGTATACTTCCCCATGCCATCCCATACCTTTTCAGCTTACATATCTACCACTGTATCCACTCATAAATTGTTTGTTATTACTGTTATTGCAGGATTGTGCATATAATAATATTTAGCATTGTTGCCTTTTACTCTTGCGTCCTGCCAATGTCTTCCTTTGCCTTGGTCATGTTGTGCTGACATTCTCTTTATTGTTCCCTTCATCACAGTTAATACATGTCTACTACCTAGTTAGTGATTTTCCCTCCATCCTCCTCCCTTCCCTGGTAACCATCAAAGAATGTTTCTTCTGTGGGTAAACCTTTTGCTTTTATAATAGTGGTCTCATACAATATTTGTCCTTTTGTAATTGACTTGTTCCATTCAATATCCTCTGTTGTTGTTGTTGTTGTTGTTGTTGTTTGCCGTCGAGTCGGCCCCAACTCATAGCGACCCCTCCTTGGGTTTCCGAGGCAGTATCACTACGGAAGTAGGATTGCCCAACCTTCCTTCCGAGGAGTGGCTGGTGGGTTTGAACCGCCAGCCTTCTGGTGAGCAGTCAAGTGCCTTAGGCACTATGCTTCCAGAGCTCCTCAATATCCTCTAGGCTCATCTATATTGTGAGATGTTTGGGTTTAAGTCTTAATCTAATATAGAATAAGCAGAACAAATGAAAGAATAAACAAAGTAAGAGAGCCAGACATAAGAAATAAGATTAAATTTCCACAGCAGACTTTCTGCAGCCAAATCCACACAAATAGTAATAGAGCAAAAGCACTTCTCTGGGGCCAAGAGAGTAAGACCATTCTGATTGTCCATGGGAGCCCTTTGCCAATCAAAAACGGTTGGCAGCCTGTCATTAAACATTGAACACTACAGAAACAGCATGGTAACACACAGATAATTCAGAAACCCCACCTACACAATTTGAATATAAGTCATTAGTATGAGGAAAAACAACCTGTAATGTTCACACAAGTACAAATCTCAGAGTCAATGAAAATTAATTTGGTTTTTGTCCCCCATCTTCCTCTGGTGTCATCTTCTCCATTTCTTGTCCCCCTTTTATTGAGTTTGTACTATAACCCACTTTAGGAGCTCTGGTGGCGTAATGCCTAAGGCATTTGACTGCTAACCAGAAGGCTGGCAGTTCAAACCCACTAGCCACTCCTCGGAAGGAAGGTTGGACAATCTACTTTTGTAGTGATACTGCCTCGGAAACCCAAGGAGGGGTCACTATTAGATGGATCCAACTCAACAGCAGTGAGATAACCCACTTTAAGGAAGAACTATTCAATCAATGCTGGTGTCTTCCAATTTCACTTCTAGTGAAAGAAAAGGGTAATGGTCTATCCTACTAGATATATCTAAAAAGTAAAGTGATAAGAGTGTGCTTCTAAGGTTACTGCTAGGATTGTACTATGGAAGCAACATCAGCTCCGAGAGAGCTAAGCATGGTGTCTTACCCCAGCCTCACAGCTTCCTAGCCATCTCTCAGTCTGCCTCGGCTTCATGACCTGCTGTAGCTCTTCTATGCAATCGCTTGCACATTAAAGGTATGTGAACAGTAACAAGAGAAATGGTAACTGTGGTTTAGGGCTTCATAGTCAACTGCCGTTATGTCACATTCACCGTAATACCCTGTTTCTTGATAATGTATCCTCCTTGCAGCCTACTCTCTGTGCTCTATCCTATCAGCTCCTGGGTGGCTTAACTAAGACAGACAGGAGTCAGAAAAGCACATGGAATTCTGCCTACTTAGGATGAAGCAGTGTAAGAAATCCTACAAAGAAGGAAAAAGAGGATATAGGAGATTCCAAGGACAACCAAATGTCCATCATATTTTAAATCCAGTGTGGAGAGAAGAAAAAAAATCCACACTTTAATTCTTCTCCTATTAATACTTCCCTGCATATTATTATTTGTTCCTGAGGCTTCCAGGAATTTGAATTATTTTGGTCTAAAAGATGACTTGGATCTGATTTGCCAAGTGAATCTAGAGTACTTTATAGCGAAAGGGGAGGGGAGGGGGAGAGGGAGAGAGAGAGACAGAGAGACAGAGAGACAGAGAGACAGAGAGAGAGACTTACGTCTTTTCTAGGAATACATTTCAGTCTCTCACCACTCAGGGTTAGCATGAGTTTGATTGACTATCTTGTGGGTTGTACATGAAAAATAACTTTGAAAACAGAGCAAGATAACCGGGGTAGACATCCCCTGCCCATAAATGACTAAAAATGATTATCACAACGGGGGGGGGGGCAGCAAATCTGATATTGTTATCTGTGTGAGTTTTTTAATAAAAGAAATAGATGCACAAGTTCTACCCTCCATAAAGGGGGGCTGAAAATAGAAATTTCAGTGAATCAGGGCTGACAAAACTCCCCCAATTAAACATTTTAAAAGCTAAATAAAATAAAATTTAAAAAATACTAGAAAAATTACACAGAGCACCGACTTTAACTGTAAAGACAAATTTAATGTTTCATAAATTACTGTCCAGATGAATAAAGTGATCATGAAATTCATGGATACAAACAACAAGAATACTCCAGACAAAACCACCAAGTGGAACCTAACTCTGGCCCAGCAGCATTACAGTAGCTGAGGTGTAAGAATCAGACATAGCTCATTATACTGATAAACCAACCATCCCCATCCTATAGACAGAACACAGTTGGTCTTTGAGCCCAGAACTCCATTCCTGGGGTTTCTGCTGCTCACTGTGAAGAGTCCCTCTGTACAACCCTGTTACAAAAAAGACTGCGCCAGCCCCAGCTCCCCATACTAGCTAGTCAGTGAGACAGAGCCGACCGGCTTCCTCTTCCTACCAGCCTCCTCGAAGCTAGTAGGAAGAGATATAAGAATGAGGAGATATTTGGGGTTCAGGAAACCTTAAAGTTCTACCCTTTTTCTCTCTCCCCACCCAGGATGGAAGGGCAAAAATAGATACGACCAAAATCAAACTGATTCTCCCAAGAAGATTCTTTTCATATAGAAAAAATGGATTCAACAAAAGTGCCAATTAATGTCCCTTTTCACTTCTTTCTCTCCTTCGACTCTTGAAGAGTCACCTCTGCCTGGGTCATAGGACCAGCCAAGCAGTCTGTGTGGCAGCGGGAGCTCCCGTCTCTGTGAGGCTCAAGCCCCACGGCATTAACCATGGGAAAGAAAGGCGACCTGAGCGCAAGGGGGGCAGAGCAGGGTCTCTTCCTTCTATTCGAAAGAACAGAGACACGAAGCAAAGAGACAAGCGAGAAGGGAGCGTGAGCTAGAAGAGCCACGACGGAGTCCTGAGATAAACTGAAGCAGAGGGATTTGGGATGGAAAGGGATCCGTGACCGAGCAAAAGCCAGCGGACAGCAGCGGGCTGGGGCGGTGACTCAGTGAAAGCGGCAATGGGCCCAAGGGAAGACTGCACGGTGCTAAGGTGACAGGCAGAGAGGGCCGGGCGCGAGCCGGCGACGCCGCGACCGCGAGGGCTCACCGTGTCCTTGGACGAGCCCAGCTTCTTGAGGCCGTCTAGGGGCAGCAGGTCGGCAGAGTCCTTGTGGATGAACTGCACGGCCTGCTTCATCCGGCGCTGCTGCCGCAACGACGCCGCCTCCCGCATGTCGGTCTCCTTCCGGCCACCCTCGGTGAGCACACCTGAGTAAAACATCTCTAAAGCGCTCGCAGCCCAGCGTCCCCGTGGCTACCGGCTCCCCAGCCGCTCTCAGCCTCGAGCTCCTCCAGCGCAGTGAGCCGCGCGCCGCGGTTTTTATACCCGAGCGTGACGTCATGGGGCAGCCTGTGCGCGCGCGGGAGGCGGGGCCGCACAGCGTCCTGGCCCGGCGGGCGGCTCCCCTGCTCCCCCCACCCCATTTGTTACCCGCTCCCACGCTGTGCCGTCCCGCCCGCGGAAGAGCAAGCGAGAAATAGGGGGCGCTGGAGGGGCTGACTCCGTGCTCGAAGAATCCACTGCGGTCTCTTCACCTAGGCGTCCCCTCACGTTGCAGGTGCCCCGCAACCTCTAAAGGTGGATGGGTTGTGAGACCTAATGCCGAGGATCTTCTCCCTCCCCAACCACTGTCCCCGGGTGCCCGCTCACCTGTCCACGCTGTGGCAGAACCAGGGATCACCGACAGCTGGGCCATGCCCCGAGTTTGGTCGCCCGCGCCGCTGCTCTGCTCTGCAGATTCCCACGGAATGGCACCCCCACCTCCGCGCCCCCTCCCGGAGTCTTCGCGCCCGCAGCCGGGACTCAGGAGAGCCGGAGACACGTTCCGAAGTTGGGAGAGCTCAGGATTTCTCCAACTTCAGGTCGGTTCCCACCCACCGGGCCACGTGACTGGGGAGGGGGCAGCCCCTGCCGGCGGGCTGGAGCTGGCCCTTCGGCGACTCTACCTCTTCCAGCACCTTCTGGCCGCAGCCTGGCACCTACCTGCCTTTGCAAGTGGAGAAAGTCACCACCGGGTGGAAGCCCGCGGGTCGGCAGGGTGGGGTGGGGTGGGGGAGTGACGAGGATCCCCGCTTCCCAGGGACTGCCTGCGAGTACGAGCCCTGCACTTGCTCTTCACTGCACCTGCGGAAAATCACCTTTCTCGGCTAACGCTAGGCGTACAGTTGAGGGGGTCTTTCACCCGTCTCTCCAGCATCCTTCCCGGACCAATTAAAGCCCATTTTTCGTGAATCTTCCATACTTTCAAGCCCTACTAATGGTGCCTCGAGCATCCTGAGTTCTGGCCTCGACGCTGATTTAGTACAGACCATGTTTCCACCTGAATCACCAGGTCACAACATCAAGGAAAGTAAGGAAGATTCTGACTCATAGCGAACTCACATGTGCCCAGCTGTTCGACGGGGTTTTCAAGGCTGTGCTCCTTTGGAAGCAGATCACCAGGCCTGTCTTCAGAGGGCCCCCTGGGTGCATTTTGGTAGTCGTCAAGAAAGCTTCACAGGTTGGCATCACCTAACTGCCCATCCTTAGAGCGCCTCAAAAGCTTCCTAGTGCTCTCAAAGCATTGTGGCGTGGTCCACCAGCATCTCCACTCTTCAGACTTCTGTACCTTCTTGAGAGGAGGAGGAGCCATACTCATTCTTGCCAAATGTGCTGCTTTTGAACATTCCTTTCCTTTTGCATGGAATGCCCTCTACCACTTTCTTCATCTCAGCTCCAATATCATTTCCTTAGTAAATGAACTCCTGACCTCCTGGAGTGGGTGAATTTTTCCCTAATTATGTACATGTAAGGGGCTCTGGTGGCTTAGTGCCTAAGGCATTTGACTGCTAACCAGAAGGTTGCCAGTTCAACCCACCAGCCGCTCTGATGGGGCAGTCTACCTGGGTAAAGATTTACTGCCTCCAGAAACCAATGGGGGTTCCTGTGAGTGGGATCCACTCGATGACAGTGAGAGGTATACTATGCATCTCTCTTCGGGTATTTCAAGGTGTTTTTTTAAAATTTATTATTATTATTATTGTATTTTTGTTTGATTAGCATTTGCTATTAGATTATAAACTCCAAGACAGGGACTGAGTCCATTTTTGCTTAACATTGAATCTCTAGCGCATAGAAAGCCATCTAAGTACTGGTATAAGTATAATGTGAAGTTAAGGTCTTGCCCAAGTGTGAGACGTCTGCCCCGGGAGCTTGAGCTGGACTTCCCAGGCCTGGGAGAGCTGGGTTTCACTTCATGATCCTGCTTCTTTCCCTCCATTCCTGTCTTTAGCACTTGCCCCAGATTTAGAGGACACACACTGCTTGTGGGAAAATAAACCCAGAAGGCTGCTTACCTGGATTCAAGGAAGCCCCAGTGCTGGATTCCTCTTCCCTTCCTTTCCTCCCCTTCCCCCACACCCAGGACAGACTCTCTTGGTGGGAGATCATGGAGTGGGGCCAGATTGCAGCTCATTTCCCAGTCCCCTGGCATGCTTCCAGCAGTGAACAACAGCGGCTTCCCTGGCCCCTGTCCTGTTGCCTGGATCTCTGCCTGGTCACTCCTCCAAGCACGGGTAGCCCAGGGAACAGTGAAAGACAACCTTGCCTTGTCTCTCTAAGACAGACGCCTCTGAGCTCGGCAGAGCATCGGGACAGGTCCAACACTGAGGGCCTCTGGAGCTCTGCTGTAGCAGCTACTTTCCTCAGGGAGGGAGCCAGGCGGGTAGACGCTTCGGTGGAGGAGTCGGAGTCTACTCTCCAGGCTGCTTAGCTTAGGCTTGTAACCTTTTTTGCTGTTGTTGTTGAGGATGACCCTGCCACAAGAAAGGGGCTCCTTTCATAGCCACATCCCCCCAGGGAATACCAGGAAGCTGACTCTCTCTGGCTGAACTGGAATTCGGCCATATCAAGTGTTGCTGAAAAATAAGTGGGGCCTTGACTAGAGCTGAGAATCCGTTTATGAATGCAGAGCTCTTTGCAGTAGAGGGATTTATGTTCTGCAGTTGGATCTGTGGCCACAACACCAATTGTGCCCCTTACCTGTCAGAGACTTTCTTTGGGGCCAAACTGGTGGATGCTATCATTGCCTTTAAATATGGGTCAGTGTGGTGAACCCAGCCCCAATCATGCACACACACTATAAATTCCTGCAGACTACAGACTGGCCTGCTCAGTTTGAGGCAGTTTATCTCCGGGCAGTTTATCTAGTTTGCCCAAATGACTTGCAGTAAGTCACTTCCTACCTCTGAGCCTCAGCTTCCATATCTATAAGATGGGTGTTGTGAGGATGTGAGATGGCATATACTGTGATACTGTAAACCGTTGAGGGCTGTACCATTATTAGTTCCGCGTATAGCCAACCTCCACTGGACCATTGACCCATCTTGGAGAGAATATAATATAGTTGTTAAAAGCACAGGCTTTGACCAATGGCTCTGAACAATTTGTGTAGTAATTGTTAATGGGAAACTAATTTGCTATATAAACTGTCACTGAAAACACAATAAAATATTACTTAAAAACCACAACAGAATTTGTAATGCAACACACACATAAACACACAAACCAGTTGTCATCTGATCAGTTCTTTTTTTAATGCATTTTATTGAAATATAATTTATGTATAGTGAAATACACAAACCTAAAGTGACATGAGTCATTTTTTCTTTTTTTGGTAGTGTTCCCTTCTCTCCCTTCCCTCCCATCCCTGGCAACCAACAAAGAGAGTTTCCCTCCATATATAAACCTTTCCTTGACCCTCCACAACAATGAACTAATACTATATTTGTCTTTCTGTGACTGACTTACTTCACTCAGCATAAAGTCCTCCAAGTTCATCCATATTATGCGGTGTTTTGCAGACTCTATGTTATTCTTTAGTGCTACATAGCATTCCATTATGTGTATGTGCCATAGTTTGGTCATCCACTCTTCTGCTATAGATCTTAGAGATAAGTCCCTTGCCAGATACGTAATTATCAGCAAATATGAATTGGTTGCTGTCATTTTTGTTATGTGCTTTTTCATGGTGTCCTTTCTTTGTTCCATATAATTTTCTATGCTGAGCTCATTTTGTTTATGAATCGTGTTATCACGTCCTTCATTGCTATTGTTTTAATATTTGCTGAATATTTATGCTGGTCCTCTTTTTTGATGTGAAGTTTTATCATTTTTCTTTGAGGTTATCCTGTGATTTATAGTTTTCTTTCCAAGTTTAGAACAGTCTGTTCTATTTGTAGTTGTCTTGACTTCCCTACCATCTAGAAGTTCTGTAACGACACAATTTTTTTCCTCTTTTTGGTTTGTAGTTGTCCTCTTATGTTAATTGATGTCTCTGGTTCCCTGTTTACAATCTTGTAGGCTTATTTACTTTGGATACTTCCATAGCTGGGTTGGTTTCTGGGTTATATCATTATGTGTGTTAATGGTCAGTTGTTTTTGGCTGTTGTTGCTTCTCTGTCCAAAGGGCTCCCTTTAACATCTCTTGTAAGGTTGGTCTGGTTTTAACAAATTCCCTTAATTTCTGCTTATCTGGAAATGTCCTAATTTCACCATCATATGTGAGGGATAATTTTGCTGGGTACATAATCTTTGGAAATTTTTCTCTTTCATGTTTTATAAAGACCAACCCATTGTCTCCTCACCTGCATGGTTTCTGCTGAGAAATCCAAACTTAGTCTTATTGGTTACCCTTGTAGGTAACTTTTCATTTTTCCCGTGCTGCTCTCATGATTCTTTCTTTGTCTTTGGTTTTGGTAAGTTTGATGATGATATGTCTTGGTGATTTTGTATCACCAAGGGATCTATCCTGTTTGAGGTTCGTTGGAATTCCTGAATGGATGTATTCTCATCTTTCATCATACCAGAAAAATTCTCTTCCAACAAATCTTTGACAATTTTCCCAGTGGTTTTATTTTTCTCTTCCTGTTCTGGAATTCCAATGACATGTAGTTTATTCCTTTTGATGGTATCCCACATGAACCTTAGGCTTTCTTCATTTTGTTTTGATCTTTTTTCTGATTTATCCCTTTCCAAAGAAGTGTTCAGGTATTTGCCATCAATTTCCCTAATTCTGTCTTCCATTGATTCAATTCTCCTCCTTTGGCCATTCAATGTCTTATCTATTTCTGAAAATTTAGTATTAATCTTCTGGATTTCTGTGTGTAGATTTTGTATCATTTCTAATTTTTCATTTATTTCGTCATTTTGTTCTTGTGTTGTCTTTCAAAATTGTTCTGGGGTTTTCTCTGTATTTCCCTTGATTTGTCTCTCAATCCTTTGAAGAAACCTAAATATAATTCTTTTAAATTCCTTAT